CTTATTGAAACATTTCTCACACCTTTTCTTTTCGATTTTACCTCATAACATTCTGGCTTTTCTATGAAATGTCACACTCTATTGGTGCATGTAAATATGCTGCTTTTTACATCCATGTCATGAACAATCAGATTTTCTTTGCATTAACACTCTTACACTAGTCATGTTAGCAGTTGGAGAAAAGACTTATCATAGTTCTCTTTGGCAACATACATTGTTTTTGCAAAAACCCATTTACCCACTAGACCTTTGCCTTCAGGTAGGTTGGTGAGAGCAAAAGTTGCATTCTTTTAACAATTGCATTTCTTCTTCCATAGCTTTAACCTATTCACTTGCATTTACTGATGTAACCACGTCTTTGTATCTTTGTGGTACATTACAAACAAGTCAATAACAATAATCTATGTTGATCACATCACCTTCAAAACCACAAGCATAATCGCTTAAATAAGCTCGCAGGATTCTAACTTCTGGTTTATCTTCCACCGGTTTGTCTAAAATGAGCTCTTCCTTGGCACTTTGTGGGCTCAACTCTGGGTCTAATTTCACAGACACTCCAGGACTTCCTGATCTCAAAATCCTCCTCTACAACTGGAATCTTTGATTCAGAATTTTTATCAGATACAAACTGAACAAGTCTGTGTTTCTGTACTTTTTTCATGTATGCTGGACTAAATACAACGTTGAACAGTGCATCCACGCATGTATAGATTTTACATTTTATAATGTTAGCATTCAGATATTATTTGAGTGTAAATTCAGCATGTGCAACTTACGTTTCCAGTCCTCAATGAAGAAGTGGGATGAAAAAATGGTCTCAGGGGGCTTTTCTTTGTAGGTATTTGGTAATAATCGCAATGTAGAAGTCAACAATCGTAGTTTGTCCTCAAAAGTTGTTCTCTTTTAGCTAAATAAGCTAATGAAGCCTCTGTTAGGAACCTGGAATATATAGATACAACCCTGCTGAGCTACTGGATCTGGAATGTGATTGGATAAGACTCAATTGGCCCCCATTAATGCTGGTATAAAGATGCAAATGAGCAGTGGCGAGCAGTGAAGACTCAAGACACATTACATTGGGGGATGGGAAGTTCAGCAGCTTTACAAACCAGTTTTACAGAGAAATAATGATGTATTGGGAAAATAAGTTGAATTTAGCCATCATCATTTGTTTTGTTGCTATTGCTTTATAGGACTATTGACTATTGAAGCTTATTTTTCAGTTTGGCTGCTGCATTTTGTAGTTAATGTTGATACACTTATGTTGAGGTACTTTGATATGAAACACATTTCAATTATTTTTTTCCCAAGCCTGGTTAAAAGGTAATGCAAGAGTTGTGTGTTGTTTTTGTAGAAGCTTCTCAGAGTTGCTTGGTTGAAGTCTTTGTGTACTTGGTGAAGACTCAAACCACACTGATGTCTCAATACACACAACTACATTCACTTATATAACAGTTATGTGAGTCTTATACTATTATACTGTTATATATTATCATTCGTTAAAAGAAACAATTTCTGAACTTCAGATTGAGGTTTTATTTGTGTAAAGGTCAGTCAATACATTGACATGACATTGACATGTTTTAGTTATTTATTTATCACTGAACTTGTTCTTTATGTGAGTTTAGAGTCCTTTATTTCTCTTAAAGCACATGCAGCTCATTACTGGTTTCTGTAAGACTGTCAACACACTCTTAACAGATCAATTATTTCTTCCAAAAGTCTCTATAGATTGTAACAATTAAAATGTAGCTGGTTTCTGTGCCAATTTTGTTTTCTTTTCTTCGTTTTTAGGTTGAAAAGAACATGTGTGAGCAGCTCAGCTCTCTCGAAAGCCTCTTATTCACCTGGTATGTAACAAAGATGTTTTTCGCTCTAATTATTCCTTGTGTTTGTGCATACATATGCATAGACATTCACAAAAGCATATATAAGATACTCTGTGACAAAACTTTTTCCTTTTAACACAGTAAAGCGATCACATACTGTCCATTTTTTTATCTATCATGCATCTAAATATTTATAATCACAAAATAATTATATAACAAGTTAATTTATTGTATAGGCAGTGTATACAGAGTAATTCAATGACAAGAGTTCACTTTCATATCTACACAATGCAGAACTTTTAATGTGATTAACCTGCTCCACCTACACCAGGGGTCGGCAACCCAAAATGTTGAAAGAGCCATACTGGACCAAAAAAAAACAAAAACAAATATGTCTGGAGCCGCAAAAAATTAAAAGCCTTATATAAGCCTTATAATGAAGGCAACACATGCTGTATGTATTTATATTAGCTATATTAGCCTACTATAAAAATGATTTAGTTGGCTACAAATACATACTGAGCCTTCATGGTTAAATGTTTTTTTTTCCCTGCAGTGCATCCTGTAGAGAATGACGCACCACGTGACTACTCTGTTGTACGATGCCGTCTCAAGTTTAACTTAATTACAATATTAATGCATTATGTTTAATGTTCGAGTTTAACTTCATTACAATATCGATGAATTATGTTTAATGTTCAAGTTTAACTTCATTACAATATTAATGCATCATATTTTGCTTTGATGAAATTAAAGAAATGCAGTAAAGAAATCAGATTTTTGATGTTTTTTTATTTTGAGAATTCCAAAAAACAACATCAAAATGAACGTGCATAACGTGCCCCTTACAGGGAATGTGCTCAACAAGGAAGGGTCAATCTCCAGGGGTGTGTGACAAGGAAAGACAGTCTCGTTTTTTCCTTTCGGCGCTCGCAAAATCTGCTCCCAAATGCAGTTTGCATATCAACGATCGCACCTTGTAAATAATCATCGTTGAGTGAGTGATCGTGATGGGCTTCTTTGAATTCTCTAAGGGAGGGAAAATGAGAAAGCGTGCCCCGCTGTACATCTTTGGCAAAGACAGCTTACGCTCCATGGCGCATCACACAGCCGCCGGATTGTTTACAACAGCCACCTGCCTATTCCGTGTGTCGCAGGCTATGACGCAAATCTTCGTTGACAGAAATGTTGAAAATAAATATTCTACACACTTTTACAGCATTAGAAAACGTTAGGATTGTTTGTCCTCCTATAGAAACCATATTAAAACAAAAATATATTTACCTCCCCCATCTTTTTCCGTTTTCAAACATTTTTGGAAAAAGCTCCAGGGAGCCACTGGGGCAGCGCTAAAGAGCCGCATGCGGCTCTAGAGCCGCGGGTTGCCGACCCCTGACCTACACCAACTACAGCATTTCTCAGACTTCTGTTTCACTATGGTGTAATTACAGTGGTGAACATCACATAAAACAACAACTGCACTTACTCCTGTAACTTGTTTGCAACAATGAATTTTAAATATCTGTGTCACATATTCATTTAATTAAATGGTTCATCATCATGTGCAGTCATCTTTATTAATAGCTGCCTAATAGGCCAGACCATTAACTGAATAGGATCGTTTTACATATATGAAACCTGTTAACAGGTATAGCTGTTCATGCCAATATCAACTTGATAGCCTAAAGCAAATTATATGAACAGGACCTGCCTTACATCTCTTAAGACAAATAATCAAAGGTGTCTATAACAATACATGCTTGATTGCCCAGATCATTACAATCGCTTTATCTGAATGGTGCCTTTTCACACATTTAAATGCAACAACCATTTGTAAGCATAGTTCTTCACCAATATCAGTTTAATACCTCAAATAATTATACATGACGGCATCACAGTGGTGCAGTGGGTAGCTGGTTCGAGCCTCAGATGGATCAGTTGGCATTTCTGTGTGGAGTTTGCATGTTCTCCCCGTGTTCGCATAAGTTTCTTCTGGATTCTCAGGTTTCCCCAAAGTCCATAGACATGCGGTGTGTGTGAATGAGTGTGTATGCATGCTTCCCAGTAACGGGTTGCAGCTGGAAGGGCATCTGCTGTGTAAAGTATGTGCTGGATAAGTTAGCGGTTTATTCCACTATGGTGATAATTATTACTATGGTAATAAAGGGACTGAGCCGTAAATGAATGGATATATGAGTAATATCATCCCACGAGTATCAGTGCTATCAGTTTTTGTATTTCTATTTGTTGTAATGACCTGTTGTTATTGCAATGAAAAACATAAAATAAAAATAAATATATAAATAAATAAATGTGGCTGTATAATAGCAGTGGTGGAATGCGTGTGCTATAGTGTACACTAGGCACTCGAGAATGATTGTCCCTCTACCTGTTTTTTCAATCTCCTGAGAACTCTGCTCATCTTCAGAACGCAAATGAAAACACTTTAAAAGAAATCAGAGAGCTCCTTCATCAGTCATAGACAGCAAGAGATCGGAGATGCTCAAAGTCCAGAAAAGGAACCAAAAACGATGTCAAAACACATGACTTTTGTGGTTCAATTGTAATCGAGCTCCAAGAACATTTTGTGTGCAAGAAAATGTGGAAAAAAGCAGCCATGTTCAAAGTAGGAACTGTTGAACCATATAGTGTTTTTTTGTAGTTTTTTGCCCATGTATTCTCTTTATTTGCATTCAGCAGCAGAAACTCAAACAGATTTGGAACTAGTAGAAGATGAGTAAATGACAGAATTGTATTTTTTTTGTGAACTACACCTTTAATGCTTCTGTAAGTAAAGGTAAATTAAATTTTACTGAAGATATTGCTAAAGAATGGCAGGAAACATGGAACACAGATAATAAGTGACGACAATTCATGTGGAAAAAAAGAAACCCTATATAGGCCTATAAAGTTGTAGAAATAGAAAAGAAGAGGTCATAATTATGAGGATGAGAATTGTACTCAGATATTAAGAAGTAATGTTGTTGTAGACATACAAGTCATCATAAAGTGGATTAAAAAAGTTAAGAAAATGTTTGGATTAAAGGTTTGTGTGAGAGAGAGAGCAGATATAGTGTAAAGTGAAAACCATGGGAGTAATGTATCAATAGGAAAGTGTCAAAAAAGCTTTAAAAAAAGACTTTTATTTTGGCGTGGCGCATGACGTCATCAGGCAGCGCCGCTTCACCGCTGTGATTCAACTGGTCAAAGGTTTGTTTGAAAACGTTTACACAGATATAAACCAATTTAAAGTTAAAGTTCTAAAGTTTTAAGTTTTTTATATGGTGCTAAATTATATTCCTGCTTTTGGAAATATTATTTTAACCCTTTATACAACGTAGTACTATTTTATTCTGAGTAACTGATGGCTATTGTTTGAATAAAGTAACAGGAATGTGTGTAATAAGTGTTTTAAAGAAACATTTTACCTGATTTATTTTTGTTAATTACTCCCATAAAAAACATTGAAGCAAGTGTTGAAAAGAAGTTATTTTGTTTCTGTTCATTGTTTTGTTCATTTTAAACAGGATAAAGTGTCACAGAGAAAAACTCCTGCTGAAGCGACTGATCTCTACACTGTTATAAAGATGGCGTTTATTAAAGAGGAGAGTGAAGATATGAAGATTGAAGAGACATTCACAGTCAATCAGGAAGATCTGCAGGAACAAACAGGTTGGTTTTCATTCTTAAATACCAACGCAGTCATTTGATCCTCATTCAGATATATTTTAATAATAAGAATACTAAATTAAATCCATCTTGCAGCCCTGAGTGTGCTGCCTAGTTCTCCTAAATGCACATAAACACTGATTGAAAAACAGGAATGAGTTTCTTTTGTCACTTTTCTTATTGGTTTTGTCATTCTTTTTATGTATTATTAGTCTCCCATTTTCTCTACCTTCTTAAGGTTATCAGAATCAGAAAGAGCTTTATTGCTTTTCTTTTTCTCCTGCTGTTGGTAAGCGTCCTTGAGCGCTGGCGCTATATACAATAAACAAAAACAGTAAATTAAAAAAAGTTCAACTGAGCTGACGATGTTTGACCTACAGCAGGGGCGGACTGGCCATCTGGCAATTCTGGCAAATGCCAGAAGGGCCGGACCATTTTTTAAATGTGGGCCGGTCAGGTTTTTTTTTTTTTTTTTTTAATATGTATTGTTTTTACATGCTTTTACAAGCTTTTATCTCTTACAAGATGTGATATTATGATGATATAATAACAATAATAATAATAATTAGAACAATAATAATAATAATAAATGTTGCGCATTTGGTCCAATCGGCGACGGCCGGCTGGTTTCGAGAGGGGCCGACCCAATCTGAGGTTACGCGGCCGTAATCAAAATCTAGCAAGAATGTAAAACAAACAATAAGTGCCACACAAGCTAATTGTCAGAGATGTGCCGTAAAAAGAAAAGGCGGTGCCGAAAAGCTCAGAGAAAGAGCGCAAAAGGGCTCTAAAATCAGACGCTGCCAAATGCATATTACTAAAATATTCTCGAACATTCGGCTGCTGCATCGGAGGACAGTAGCGCGGTAGAGGAGGTAAGAAAACAGAAAATGTACGTCTAAGTCATTATACTAAAACATACCAAGTAAATGTCTCGCCATTCACGCTACTTCTGACAGTTTGTGACAGTGCATTAAACACAGTGACTACATTGTGTTTAACAGTTGTCAGCTTAGTGTAGAACTCCCCCACATTTTAATAGGTCATTATCAGCAGATAACGTGATTTCTGGTATACAGACTGCTGTATGCTACTAGGAATATATTCTAACATGCAAAAGAACCTAAAGCTATAGCCACAGTACTGTATGCATTTGTTGTGAACTCTGAATACATAGCTAGACTTTAAACTAATACATTAAATACATGCATAGGTTACAGTACATAATCATCTCATTGTCAGGGAAAATGAGATTAAATCTATCCAGAATTATTTTGACTCTTTATTCTTTCCACAAAGTTTCCAACAAGTACTGAGTATGCAAGTGCTAGCAATCACTTTGGGTATCCTTGTGGGTTGGTGTGGTCTACAACAAATTAAAATAAACAAATTAAGGAATCAGAAAAAATAATAATACAAATAAAGATCCTAAAACACTTCCATGTACAATCAACAAGGGGTATGAGATCCCTGGTTGCTAGAAACACTTCAAAATAGAAGCTCATGTGAGCCATTTTAACACTGTGGCTCTATTTAAAAATAAATTAACCCTATGATAGGAGCCTGTGAATGTGTATCACACACAGACACACACACACACACACACACACACACACACACAAATGGAGATGCAGCACTAGCAACACTTCAGCATGATTTCACAAATAACTATATATCATGAAGGATTAAAAATGTACAAATCTGCTGGTACACACAAATATTGCTGCTTTTTTCAGTTCTGCTTTATATTCTATTCATTTCGGTGCTACTGTTATTACTTAATTGTATTAATTTGTATACAGGGTTTCCGCAGGGTCTTAAAAAGTCTTAAATTAAAAAAATATATATATATTAGGCCTTAAAAAGTTCACTGAAATATTGTGTTGTATGTCTTAAATCATTTTAAACTGTTCTTAATTTCCCTCTATCCAAGTTAAGCTACCCAATCTGGCCAAATCATTTTTTTTTTATTGCAAAGAGATTCAGTTTATAACAGCTGTTACATTATTTTCAGCAAATTCTCCAAATTAAATTCCCTAATCATGGAAGGAAAAATAAAGCAACACATCCCTTTACATTATCTTCAATTAATACAAAAACTATTTACTAAAGTTACCAGACCATTAGAAAAAATCCTTTGTGTTTAGCCCTGTATAAGTCTAAAATTGTATTTATAATGGTCTTAAAAGGGTCTTGAAATGTTTTAAATTTGATTTGAATAAACCTGCAGAAACCCTGGTATTCAAATGTTCAGAGCAGTCAGTAAGAAAACATTTTGCTGCAATCTTTACATCCTATACTGTGTTTATTAACTAGGGTGTTGCCAATACCAGTGCTGTGAGAAAGGATGCTACGGTAGGCCTAGCAGAGACAGGGAGAAGTGTGGTAGAGGTAGAAAAAAAAAACATTACACACTGTACTTTAGGTTTGTAGTTAACTTTACAGTAGAGGTGAACACATGACAAAAAAATTGTAGTTAAGTCTACATAGTTACATTTGAACTTAACTGTAGAATAGGCCATAATTGTTAATATTTATTCTTTAGGTCACCTGTAATTGTTTCATAAGCACATATTTATTAAAAACTAGAATGAGTCAAGCCTAGCAAAAGCAGTGATTCAAATAATGATGACAAAGTGATTGCAGAGACCAGCAAGAAGCATGGACACAATAAGAGTCAGGCAAGAGTGAGGAACAAGTATAATCTCAGACAGCCATACAGACATATTAAAATTGCAGAGTTACAGAGTTAAAATGGATGAGAAGATGTAGAATCAGACAATGTGTTTACTGTCAACATAGAAACAAGGAGAAGCCAACATAGTCTATGGACCGTGGCAATAAAGAACAACACTTCAGAGAATGACAAGTATAGTTATTTGTGAATAAACATATGCTGAATGTAGTGCTGCATGACCATTTGTGTTTAAAGGTGTGTGTGTGTGTGTGTGATACACATTCACAGGTTACTCCTATCATAAATAGCAGACAAATGGTACACAGACAGCACACAGACTTTAAATTATTTTAATTTAGTTTTACTGTATGTATGAATTTGTTATAAACGGGTTGTTTTTCTTCCAGTCACATACATTAAATGTTTAAATATCTATTACATATATGGTACTGCTAATATTATTTCACTATCTGTACACCAATATAAGTAGTGAATGTGCATGTCTGTCAGTGGGGCTGTGTCGGTGTGGTCATGTGGGCTGGTGTGGCTACAGTGCCAGGGCTGAATTTTTGTCCCAGTCCGCCCCTGACTGTCCCTGATTAGACAAACAGCAGGTAACCTTTTTTGATGGCATTTCTGCATCTTGTCAGGTATATAAAATGTCATCATGTAGGTCTTCAGCTAAGCCTCATGCACAAAGGCAAGAATAAAAAGACAAAAGTACAAGTGAATGAAAACAAGTTGCAAAGTATGTCATCTTGCTATGTCCTCATTACTCCAGTTTACAGCAAACGTGGCATTAAGCATTTGCATAAGTTCATTCATTAATTTTCCTTTGGCTCAACTGGGCCGAAAAAGGAAAAAGTTGAAGAGAAATTGCTAGTTCCCTTCAAAACCCAGGCAGTGTTTCCTCTAGGATTTTTTCCAGCTGTAGCGGCAGGCCTTTTTAGACAGATCTACCAACTACCTGTGGTGTTATTTCAATGACAAATGTCGTGACCCCAGTATTAGAAGTCGAGATCGCATTTATGTAATAGCCTACAGCATGCAGATCTCTTTGCTTGTATATTTATGAATGTCTCTAATAGACCTACAGAGCGATATTAATGCGTCCTGAAGTGAAGTGAAACGGCTATAGATCGTGTTAACTGGCCTTACACATCATACACCTGTCAGTCAGTCTGTCAGCACTTATTCTTAACGGGGTAAACAAATAATACACAGCACTACTACGATTACAGAGAAGTTGGCGCTGTTATAATTCACTCGTGTTTGAATATGTTTTGGTGCGATTATTACCGGCTATTAAAAAAAAATAAAATGTTTTGAAAGAGAAACTGTAATGTAGCCGTGGCGGGATGAATTTTGTTGTGGTGCCCCACTATGGAAGAATAAATGTAGCGGAAACCATGCCAGGTTAACAAATATATACATTTTCTACCCCATTAAAGGCTTCTTTCTCATCATGTAGTTAATAACAAAAGATATATGTATTTTTGGCTGTGAGACATAGTTTGGACAAAGTTGTCTGTGATTGTGCTTTTGTAAAGTCATGCAGTGTGAAACTCCCTGTCGCTGATCCATCTTGCAGTGTAGACAAACCAGTGCCAAAACATTAACTCAGATAGTCATGTAGTGTGAAAAACATCCGTAACACGAATATTTTGAAAATCATGCAGTCTGAACTCAGCATTATATGCAATGTAAAACATGTTTCCTTAGATTATCATATTATTGACTACACTGGATATACACAAACATGTCATCCCTTCTGCATGCCCATTCTTGGCTTTCCTGTTCATTCCTTGACCTACAACACACACATACTTCAAGACAATAATGTTTTGGTAAGATTACCACACTCAAAATCAATTTACGTGTTAGTGATAATAGTGCATTCACATTAAGTGTTCTTAAGAACAAGTTTTGGGAAAATGTACTACAATACATTACTAATAGATTTTTTATATATTAACTTATTTTAAACTTAGGATTAGTATGTAAACAGTGTACTAAAAATCAACTAATGTTTAAAGCATTTAAAGCACACTTTTGAAAAACACACTAATAAAACTTTTTTTTTCTGTAGTGTACTTTATTGTAGTACACTAAAAATTTATTTAAGTATTACTGGTATTTAAAATACTTTTGTCAAGTGACTAAAGTCCTACTGAAGTATAAACATACTTATTTAGTATATTTATAGTGTAAAACCATCAAACTTTTATTTAACACAAAAAATAACAATGTACTAAAAATGTATTTGCGGGTATTTAAGTGTATTTTAATTGCATTTAATTATTATTTTTTTCACCTGGGATGTCATCTCGCCATCTCATCACTCCAGTTTACAGCAAACGTGGCATTAAGCATTTGCACAAGTTCATTCATTCATTTTCCTTCGGCTTAGTCCCTTTATTCATCAGGGGTCACCACAGTGGAATGAACCACCAACTTATCAAGCATATGTTTTAAACAGTGGATACCTGTCCAGTTGCAAACCAGTACTGGGAAACATTTGCATAAGTTATTTACAATAATGCAAACTCACTAATATAAGCTGAATTATCCGCACTTGCTATGAACATGCAGGATTTGTGTCAATCGGGTCTTCTAAGAAAGTTATAAATGTTTAAATCCAGTGGAAGATACACATAAGGGAACACAACAGGAGTAATCTAGAGCGAGTGCATTTGATCATTTGCATTTAAAGCCACAGGCACAAAAACAGCTTGGTTTTCCTCTGACCCCCAAAATGAAATATTCTGCAAGGTACATGATCTGATTTTGAGCCGAAACCTCAGACACATTCTGGGAACACCAAAGACTTATTTTACATATTGTATAAAAAGGTTCATAATAGAAACCCTTTAAAGGGATAGTTGCTGAGTCACGCAAAAATGAAAATAGCCTTATCATTTACTCTCCCTTAATGAGTTATCCCTTGATTCTGTTGAACACAAAAGAAGATATGCAGGCTTTCTTTGTGTTTTAAAAGAAAGGAAATGTTTAAAACCACATGACGGAGAGTAAATGGTAAGGTCATTTTTATTTGTGGGTGAAACATCCATTTCATGCTTATCGCTTTGTGGCTTCATACTAAAGTTCACTTTTTTGTTGTTTTTTAAGATCTGATGGTCCTGAAAGAAGAGACACATCAATGGAATGAAATGGAAGAGAAACACCAAGACATAACGACTGATGAAAAACCCACACTGACTAAAATGACTTCATCATGCAGAAGACCTCGGAAATCCAAATCTAAGTTTAATTTCAGCAGTAAACAGAGTAGAAAGAGTTTCAGTCAAAAGCCAAAGCTTGATGTTCACATGAGAGTTCACAAAGGGGAGAAAACTTGCACCTGCAAACAGTGTGGGAAAAGCTTCTATAAAACATCAAGTTTAACAATGCACATGAGAATTCACACTGGGGAGAAGCCTTACACCTGCAAACAGTGTGGAAAAAGCTTCTGTAATACAACAAACTTGACAATGCACATGAGAATACACACTGGGGAGAAGCCTTACACCTGTGAACAGTGTGGAAAGAGTTTTTGTCAAAAAGAAAACTTTAAAACCCACATGAGAATTCACACTGGAGAGAGGCCGTACACATGCCAACAGTGTGGAAAAAGCTTCCGTCATGCAGGAAACTTTACAGTGCACATGAGAACTCACACTGGAGAGAGGCTATACACATGCCAACAGTGTGGAAAAGGCTTCTATCATGCAGGAAACCTTGCAGTGCACATGAAAGTTCACACTGGAGAGAAACCTTACACATGCACAGAGTGTGGTAAAAGTTTCACATATAAAAGCACACTCAAACACCACATGAGAACTCACACCGGAGAGAAGCTGTTTGCATGTGCTCAGTGTGGAAAGAGCTTCACAACCAAATCTAGCCTCATGAACCACATGAATGGTCACACTGGAACCATAGTGTTCACATGTGATCAGTGTGGAATTAAACTCACACGCAAAGACTACATTAGGCGACACATGAAGACCCACTCAAGAGAGAATCGTTTTAGATGCAGTGAGTGTGGAAAGGGCTTTACCCATAAAAGAAGTCTCAGCGCTCACATGAAGCTTCACAATGAAGAGCAGAGTCCTGAAAAATGAGGCCTTGTCCACAGAAACACGTGTATATTCAAAACGGCAGCTTGTTCATGTAGTTTGGCTGTTCATTCAAATGAAGTTTATTTTTTAAACTACTTTTGAGAGGATCACATGCTTATGATTGTCCACGGCTGGTCCTGCATTAGCTAACCCATGATTCACCAATCAGATGATTCCAATCTCACTATAAATAACCAGAGTTTTTTTTACCTCAGTTATTGGTTACATGCAGGGCCGGATCAAGCTGAACTGCCGCTCTAGGCAGAGGACAGTCACGCCGCCCTAAACCCCAATCTAAACTGGGGTTTAACAACCAGCTCTAAACTGGTTTAAATCATATCTGGATTGTAGACAGCAATGTGTTCAAATTAACGGTGTAAAGTCAACACTTCAAAAATGCAAATTAGGTGTACAACAAGGCTCAATTTTGGGACCTTTGCTTTTCTGTTTGTATATAAATGATCTACCTGAAAGTTGCAAGGAGGTTGGTTGTCAAATGTATGCTGATGATACAATTATTTATGTAACAGCAGAAAATTCACAGAAGGCTGCAGAAGTGTTAACTAACCAACTGGTCTTTATTTCCCACTGGCTGAAGGACAACTGTCTAACTCTAAATTACAACAAAACAGTTTCAATGTGTTTTTCCTCAAAAAACAGAGCACTAGATGCTTTTAAAATCCAAATTGACCAAAAGGAAATTAAGGAAGTGAGTGAATTTAAATACCTAGGTGTCATCATAGACTCGAGGCTTAAGTTTGATGCCCACATCAAGAAAATGTCTAAGGCCATTAAGACAAATTTAAACTGTTTTCGTATGATAAGACCATATATATCTCTTAAAGCAGCGCAAATGTTTGTGCATGCTATGATATTTTCACGTATGTCTTATTGTGCAATAATCTGGGGTCAAGCAACCCAGTCAGTTGTTAAGCCTGTAATGTCTCTTTACAAACAAACTTTAAAGTAATGGATCAGAAACCAATAAGATGGCACCATTGTCAAATTCTTAAAAAATATAATTTGTTAAGTTTTGATAGTTTTTTAAAGTTTTCGTTTTTAAAAAACATGTTTAAGTGTATACATGGTCTTGCTCCTAAAGTAGTTTGTGAGTTAATAAATAAATTCAGTAGTGATGGGGCAAAGACTAGAGGGGCAGTAAGTGGGAATTGTAGAATCCGCAGATGCAGAACCGCTGTGGGTCAGTCATCCTTTTCAGTAAAAGGTTCTCATCTATGGAATGCCATGCCTGTTCATTTAAAGTTACAATCAGAACTCCCAGTTTTTTCTGTAAAGCTGAAAGAATGGTTGAAATCTTTACAGCAATGTGAACATTAAGCATTATTCTTTCAGGTTGGTCCCATTTACATTTCTCTTTATCCATATGGACTTGCATCTTATGTTTATGGCTCTGTAAATATTGTACATGTTTGCTGTATTGTGTTTTATTCTTGCCGGTTTTCTTTATTTATTTATTTTAATTTTTTTTTATGTAAAGCCTAACCAGGGACGAGGGCTGCCAATTAGCTTTATGCTATATGCCTTATGTACACAACATCGGTTATCTTTGTATAACAATGTCAAGTGTATTGTCCCTGTAAAATAAACAAGCAAATAAAAAAAAGTGAAATCGAAAGTGACCGGTTATGAAAATGAAGCGAGGTATCGTGGATCTCTCGTGGATTTCATACAGTTCATACAGACACAGCCTAATAAAAACCAAGGTTTTTTAAACACTTTTTCCAGCACCTATTTTTATTTTCAAGACTGACACGCAATGTATTGAACACCTGAAATGTATTCTCAGCAACCTATTAAAGCATTGCATAGGAACCATCTATTGATTTATTAAAGAAAACATTAATAAGATATAATAATTAGTTAATAATATATTTATAATTAAGAATATAATAAACCAAAACTGACACGCAATGTATTAAACACCTGCAATGTCTTCTCAGCAATTAATAAAAATACTACATTGGAACTATCTATCGATTTATACAATTAAAAAAACATTTATTAACTATAATAATAATTGATCATATATTAATAATATAATAAGCCTGCACTAAATGTGCCTGTGATTTTTTTATTTTATTTGTTGATGTTCTCTCACAGATGATAAGTTTTAGTAAATAATACTAATATTTTACAAATTACTCTTTTAAAAAACTACACTGAGTACTAGTTAATTACTTTTGAGAAAAACTCAGATTTTCATAATGGCCCTTTTTAAGAATAAAACTATTTAAATGGTTTAACTGCTTACATCACAAGGCTACATATAGGAATTTGCATTAACAAAGTATGGTCGATTTTTCCTTTCATGACATTGACTCAATATTAATAGTACTGGCACAACTACCACATACTTTAAAGGCCATAGAGACACTTTTTGTCCATTTGTAAACAATACTTCCAAGCTTTGAAATGTTTAATTAAAGTATATGATGAAAAGATTTAAATTTGGGGTTTTATTTACATATTGTACACTATTGTCCTATTTGCTCATTGTTGTCTATACAACATTTTATTTTACACTTGATCTTAAACTGAAATAATTTTACACAAGGACAAGTACACTGTCAGTGATAAAATAATAAAAGAAATGACTTCGTTTCACTTGAGGTATTTGAAATATGACGACTCTACATTTCTCAACGCAGTGCTTTAAGAGCCTTATTGTTTATTTTGATAAATGTAACAAATTGTTTGACCTGTAATGCCTGCACAATTTAGTGATGCTTTAAGACCAATCAGAACACCCCTATTATGTATAAATCACATAAATACCTCATCCAGAAACATTTCTGGCATAATTATTTTGTCGTAAAGAAATTAAAAGTTTCACCTTTGCTAAAAGTTCTGGTAGTATAATATAATAACAGTGTTATTTGCAAACTCTAAATAGCGAAATCATATTAGCAGCCAATGACTATCAAAGTACAACATTGGTCACAGTCAAATAAACAGTGTTAATGTTGTTTTTAAGTCATACTTGCATGCTAATTCTGATTGAATATTCAAAATTACATGGTAAACAATATAGAGACTTCTAAATGAACGAATGTGTGAATATAAAAAAAACTTTACCTTTATAACTCGCCATCGGGAGAGAAGAGAGTGAAACGTGTTTATAAAAAATGTAAAATATATTACAATTTGTTTATGAAATAATGACTGTTTTGGTCTAATTTAGCAGCAGAAAGAGATCCGATGAATCCAAACAAAGATAACAAATTTGCACGTCCCCAAGTGTCTGGCTCAAGAAGTTCTTGTAACTCAGAAAACAGCACTTCAGGATCCCTATTGCTTTCAGACGATCTGGTGTGTACACCTAATGACAAAACAGCTTCTCTGACGAGTTTTCCATTGTCATGTCTTTTTGACCTAAGGGTATGAACCTAGCTTTTTGAAGGTCACACTGGATTGTGCTGCACAGCCAACTTCAAATGAACTGCATCAAAGACAACCCAGGTGGGACTTGAACCCACAATCCCCAGCTTTGAAGGCTGGTGCCTTATCCATTAGGCCACTGGGCCATGTCACTAATTTCTATCAAGTATCTCTTGTATGCCTTCAACAAGACTCTTCTTCAGGGCTTGTTGGTCTCGTGCTATGATTCTCACTTAAGGTGCGAGAGATCCTGGGTTCAAATCCTAGATGAGACCTATGTCTGTCACAGAAAAAGCAGTGGTGATGTGCTGTGCTGTCTAGGGTGTTTATATGTTAATTGTAGCACATTCAGCTGTGTTTTCAGTTAATGAACATGTTGTGGACTACTGATCTAAATCAGTATAACTTGTACGATTATACAGACAAAAAAGAAGCGTTCTATCAGATTTCTTTGAAGGAATTCAATTAGAATTTTGATCATATTTTGCAACCATTCCTATAGGATTGTTTTAAAGTACAATACATAAAAATCCTTTAGGATAATTTCTACAATATTTTAATTGGATCCAATTTATATATTAATTAAGATATGCTTTTCTATTGTCTCTCTTAGCCTATTATACAATAGTTTTGAATGTTTAATGCACAAATTTCCAAACTAACATGTCTATACCAAAAACATATACAATGTCGCTAGCCCAAACTGTGGGCTGGCCCACTCAAAACAGACGTTCACTGTGGGCCCATAGCAAGTCCGCACAAAGTGTAGTGTATATAGCCACAATGGGCGAAGTATAGGTATACTATCTGGGTCAGAAGTATGTCCTATGAGCATGCTCTGTGGGCATTTAGTAATTAACAAGTTAGGTCCCACTAATACTAAGTTGAGTCCAGGCACAAAATGTGCCTATAAGGTCCCAGTAAAGCCCTTTTATGCAGGGCCATTGTGGCTTTAACACAAAACAAAACTAGTTCACTTCTACTATGTAGCAAAATAGCACAATATCACTTCAAATGCATAATTACATATTTTGAAAGCATAAAGTAAAATCAGTAATAAATGAAGCATCTAAAAATATAAAGACAACATGGACTATTTTTCAAAGGTTTGGGACAAAACTGCTTTAGTTTATAAAAATGCAGATATAAAAGTAACCTTGTAAATAATTATTCCTTTTTAATATGTTAACTTTTCCATTTGAATATGTTAAAATATAATTTATTCCAATGATGTTAAAGCTGCATTTGAGGCATTTGTGTCCTAAATAAAATAATTTGAGACAAAACAACAAAACATATAAAAATATACTTAGTTAAAAGAAAAACAAAGTAAGATTTTCATGTTTGTATTTTCTCTACCATTTGTACCTTAAAGGGTCACGAAACTCCAAAACACATTTTTTGAGCTGTTGACAGTCATATATGTGTCCCACACTGCTAAAAACACTATTTGGACACAAATATTTCTCTAAAAAGTGTAAATTGATTGTTTTTGCGTTATTTCAAGCAAATTTGTACTTCCGGTTTGAAACAAATTTTTGAAGCTGCGTCTCAACCATGAGATAATAGCGTGTATTCCAGCGTGCAGACTGGATGTCTGTGCCAGAGTGTGTCTTATTACGTCTTACAGTGCGGCTCGAAGGACATCTTTTGC